TTTTATAACATGCTGGGCACAGAGGCTTTGTGCAGTGTTAATTCTCACCACCACCTGCCCTACAGTCCGTATAAGCAGCAGCATTACTGCAGACAGGGAGTGAGGTTGCACTAAGACTTCCCGATGCAGCCTGACTACCTGGACAGCTGTGAGAAGGCCTTCCAAGAGGAACTCCGTGGGCCACAACCAGGGCTCATCTCTGAACACTGATTGACTGGCAAACCAAATGGCAGCAACAGGAACCACCCAAGGCTGGACACAGCAATGCAAACTAGGGTCTGTGCACAATCCTCAGAACTGGTTGAGAAAATGCATACATGTCTTTCCAAGTGTAAGAGTTTTATGTCTGGGAAACAATGCCCTTGCGACCCACCCAAAGAGCTTGTTATTGGGTGGTTGATCCATAATACTGCATCCATTGGGAGTTTTCCTCGATCCAGAGCTGTCCCTAGAATCTCAGGGGACAGCTGTGGCCAGGAGCACTTTCCTTCAGCTTCTGCTGATTTATCAGCTGTGCCCCTATCTGGATGAGCAGTGCCTGGCAATGGTGACCCATGCACTGGTAACTTCCTGATTGGACTACTGTAATGCTCTCTTCGTGGATCTGCCCTTGAAGATGGTCTGGATACTTCAACTGGTTCAGAATAGAGCTGCCAGGTTGTTAACAGGGACCGGCAGGTATGAACATATAACACTGATTCTTTTCCACCTACACCAGTTGAAGTCCAGGCCCAATTTAAGGTGCTGGTGATGACCTATAAAGCCCTAAATGGCTTAGGGTCTGGTTACCTGAAGGAGTGTCTCCTTCCATATGTGTCTGCCCTCAAGATCTGGGGTAGAGGCCCTTCTCCAGGTGCTGTCCCAGAAGATTAGGAGGGTGACTACCCAGAGAAGGGCCTTCTCTGCGGTGGCGTCCCAGTTGTGGAATACGCTCCCCAGAGAGATTCGCCTGGTGCCGTCACTTTATTCTTTTCAGCGCCAAGCTAAACCCTTTTTATTTTCCCAATGTTTTAAAGTTTGACTGTTACTATGGGTTTTATTGTTGACTGGTTAAGAATTTGATTAGGATACTGTGTTTTTGTTTTATTTTGTCTTATTGTTAAACCGTCCTGAGACTACGGTAAGGGAAATAAATAGGTAATAAATAAATAAAATAAATCCAGAGCAGTGCCCACTCAGGTTTTCCAGAGCCTTTGCATATGACACGCCCAATGGACTCCCTGTTCTCAGTGAGTCTGCCCTTCACCACCATTGTCACATTACTGTTGCTCCTCTTCTTTCCCACCACTTTTACCACTTGCTTGCTTGACAGGCAGGGAGCCAGGCAGCAAGCAACCAGGCTGTAGCACCAAACGCTCCCCTCATCCCCTCCACACCATGGCCAGGGAGAGAAGTCTGTGAACAAGCAGTGAACAGTGGTGGAGAGAAAAAGTCACAGAAGCTTGCTGGGGCAGAGGCCATCCAGGCCATCCACAGTGCCCATGCCTAAGAGCCCTTGACTCCAGCCCTGAACCATTAGGCAAGAAGGAGCATCGCGCAGCCAGAGATACAATCAAGCATACCATTAAAAAGCAGCACAGTCAACTGTTTATTTTGTTTGTTACCACTGTCTGGGAGGGTAGCATCTCCGAGTTTCTCATTCAGGTGTTAAATTGCTTGCACCATCTTTGAACAGTGTATTACTTTTTCTATCATCAATAGAACTATTGTTAAGGTGCATTATTTTTATCCAGCCCTCTCCAAAGAGCTCAGGGCAGCATGCAAGATTCTCATGCCCCCTCCCCTATCTATTTTGCACACATACAGGAAGCAATACTGTTCTCAAAATACTTTTAACTCTTACAAACAGTTCCAGTCCCCAGCCTTAATGAAATATGGAGTCTCCTATTACTCTAAATTAAACAAGAGTTGTGTTTTTAAGAATTAGAAAAACATAACCTGCGTACTTTTTGGTCTATGTGACTTTAGAGAATCATTCAAGAGGAGAAGGAATTGAGAGGGAGACTTGTTACCACTACTATTTTCATATCCTGGAAGTTTTCCCACACACAATCAGACAGACAAAAAGATTAAAGCTGAATGCAAACTCTACTGGTTCCACATCAAGCCAGTTTTTGCTGTGTGTTTCTTCCCTCTCCCCATTGGTTTGTGTACCTAATGAAGAGAACTCCAAACAAAAAAGCTTGCTGTTGGTGATATTTTGATTGTGTGACTATTTTTTAATCATAGACCAACAAGGCAGGTATTGCTAATTACAGGATAAGCTGTGTTAGTGATGGGTATGGGCTGGGGAAGTTCTTTCTCAGATCTAATTCATTATTCCATTCTTGTTCAAGTTCCAACTATCGTATTTTCTTACTAACAATACATATTTATGCAACCATATTAGCACAAAGAGGTTCCAAGCATAAGGTTTAAAAAAAAAAGCTGTCCAGGTGGGGAAAAACCTAATCTGGGTGAAGACCAAAATTTAGTGCAAATCAGAAGAAACACCTAATGATATAGAACAAGATTAAGGAAACCAAATCTATCTTCTTTAACTGAAAGCAGCATTATTTTCAAAGATATTCATGGCAGAATGGAACCCCATAAAATTAATTTTAAAGCTAGAGGAAAGAGTAAACCCAGGTAATGTTTATATAGCTCAAGGTATAATGTACACCTAAGGTGTATTTACTTTTCTCCACAGCTCAGATATGCCCACCCATTTACATCTCATGTAATCTGACCAATCAGCTTGTTAAAGTTTAACTTAATCATTTGAGATCTATCTCAGGGAACTGACATTACACAATGAAACCTTGATGACATGGTCACAAAGGTTTACCAACAGTTTACCAATTCAGACTTAGTTCTGTGTCACACTGATCCGCAATTCGAAGAGACTCAGAAATCAGTTTCTTGTCAGGGCAAATAGGTTTATTTACAATTGAATGCATGGATCCATGGGCGCCTAAGAAGGAACACCCCATGTTAATGTCCTTAGGGTTATATAGAATACACAAGAGGGGAGTGAATACAATACACAGGAAGGTGATTGGATACTTTGATATGGATAGGAAAGTGATTGGATACAGGACACAGCACCATAACTTTAACAAGCCTACAAAACACAGAGATTACACTTTGACAGTTACCCACTAATGGAGTGGGGTCATCTGGTCTTCACCACCAGACACCGAGGCATCTTTTGATGTGTTTATGGCAAGGCAGTGAGGTGGAATGGTAAGAACTGTTTTTATGATTAGCCTGACAAAAGACCAAAGGTATCAATGAACTGCATCAACCTGGAATTGATTGTTCCAAAATAAACAGTAAATGATCATCAGCATAAAGAATAAATTTGAATTCTATACAATTATGCAAAAAGTAAGAATACTATTGCTTTGTTGTATGGAACATGGTATCAGGGGAGAAAATAGTCACATAGAACCTTTTTCTTTTCTCTTTTTAAACTTTACTTTAGATTTTGTTATAACTTTTTGAAATTCACAGTACAAATGTTATTTTAAATAATAATTCTGTGTGCATCAACATGTTCCTCTCAATGAGAGCTCTGCCAAATAAATGTCAGAACTAGATTAAGCCCCTGTTCTTATGGAGATCATCAGGTGTACCATTTTACTTTTCCCACACACCACTCCCCATGTACAATGAGGGCACTGTTGGGATGCTGGTTAAACCAGTTCCCTGGTTTAAACCTGTTGTACTTTTATTTGGCTTTACATGCATTTTATCTATTATAAGCTTGTTCATTTTGTGATGGGATTCCATGGAAGGCTGAGAACCAAGTCCACTGCTATATGCATACCCCCTATTCTAGGCTGGGTTCAATACTTTGATCACACTAGATCTCAAGTACTGGCTGTTGCCTGGGCATTAACAACGTATACACACAGTCCTGGGGAGAAACAGCGTGAGCGAACCTGCAAGCATATGGAACTTTGCCTAGCATAAAGTACTCCCTGCAGTAGTAGAATGGGTTTAACCTTCTATGCAGATGGATAATATTATCAACAGCAAAGTGTTCTCTTTTCGTTATAATAAAACACCTATAGAAGTCAGAAATATTCCTGCTTTATGAATAATAGATTGGGTCAGAAATGGAAAGGCTGGCTTGGTAAGGAAGAGAAATAATAAATTTCTTCGGCAGTTCCTTAATCTCTGGTCAGTTCTGAGAACACTGTGTGCTACAGATGGATTAGGCAACTGCTGTACCGTGACCTGCGGTGCAAATTCCATGCATGTTCAGTTAGAAAAAGTCCTACACTTCCCAACATTTGCCAGCTTGTAACCCGGAGCTGCAGGGCTTTTTTCTGTTTAAACATGCTTAATGATGGGAAAGCAGATTATTACCGAGTCCCACAGCTGAGAAACTGTTGGTCAATTTCTCCTTTCCCTGGAGTAATTCAATGAAATCCTCCACCCCCACAAATAGGGCAGAGAAATACGATTTGCACACAGCCAGGGCCATCTTAACTCATGGGCCTGATGGGCACTTGCCCGTGGGCCCCATACTAATCTGTGTATGTTAACCCTTCATTTTTACATTTTTATTCCCGTGAGTAGTTGTCTTAGGGGCACCAGTACACTGCTTTGCCCGGGGCCCATAATGCTATAAAGAGAGCCCTGCACACAGCTTCAGTTAAATGAGGGGCACGCTAGTTTTGTTAACGCTAGAAACGTCAATCAAGATTTTACCACCTTAACTTTCATCGCTTCTACACAGGAATGGCAGATAAGTGAGGGTGCTGGGTGCTAAAACCCACGCTCCCTTTCACAAACCAGAGTCTCAAGGGCTCCTCAGAAACGGGAACGAACATCAAAGCAGTTTTAACTTCCCTGCTGTGGATGTGTCTTAATAGCTAAGCGGAGGCTCTCTTGTTCTAGAAGGAACTGAAACACCTCGAGGCAGGGCCCGGGCAATGAGCCGCCCAGCAAAGTGCAATCCCCGAGCTCCAGTTCGCTCCAAGGTTGTGCAAGCGGCGGTGCCACTGTCACTTTAAGGGAGAGCTGGGACGGTGACTGGTCAGAGCCAGCTTGCTTGGGGAGCAGATTTCCTTGCAGCGGAAACGGCTGGTAGGAGAAGCCGCGCCTGGCTGAGGCAAAGTTCCGTATGGTGCTGATCCCTCTCCTCCGAGGATGTGTCCAGCTCCTCGCGCTGCCTGTCTATGTGCTCTCCTACCTCGGCCTATGGGATTTTCTGTGCAAAAGCGCCTTCCCATTTTTCATGGCCCGGATATCCAAAGTGTATAACAGAAAGCTGCATAAGGAAAAGCGGCAGCTATTCAGTAACCTGCAAGAGTTTGCCGGCCCGTCGGGCCGACTCACGGTGCTGGAAATTGGCACAGGCAGTGGGGCCAACTTCCAGTTTTATCCGCCGGGCTGCCGGGTCATCTGCACTGAGCCCAATCCCAAATTTGAAAAGTATCTCCGCCAGAGCGTGGCCGAGAACCCGCACCTCCAGATGGAAGGCTTCGTGGCGGCTCCTGGCGAGGACCTGCGCCCCGTGCCTGACGGCTCCGTGGACGTGGTGGTGTGCACGCTGGTCCTGTGCTCTGTGCCAAGTGTGCAGGCTGTCCTCGAAGAAGTCCTCAGAGTGCTGAGGCCGGTAAGGGAAAGCGCAGAGGCGGCTTAAGGGGCTGCGTGGGCCCGCAGAGCCATTTCACGGAGAAAGCAGGCGCTTCGGGCACGGGGATAGCTCTAGACAGGGGCAGCGATAGCTGAAGGAGGAGAGTCACAAAACCAGGCCCATCCGGAAAACTCTCTTCATAACGCGCCAAGTAAAGAAGGCTGCGGGGCACAAGAAGAGCAGTTCCGGGTCAAACCAAGGATCTTTCTAGTGTAGCCAACTGGGTGCCCATGGGAAGCCTACATACTGAACTTGAGCGCAACAGTACCATCCTGCCCATGTTCCCCAGCGCCTGCTGTAAACGCATACTGCTGCTGCTGCTAGAGGTAACATGTAGCCATTGGGACTAGTAGACATTAATAGCCTTCTCCATGAATTTGCCCAGTCCATCTCTGTGAAGTCCATAGCTTAGCTACACACTGTGTGGAGGACCTTCTTTTATCTGTTCTGAATTCCCCATCAGTCCTGTGGGTTCTAGAATTACGGGAGGAGGAGAAAAAAGTCTCCCTCTCCATTTTTTCCACACTATGCATAACTTTGAATACTTATATCATGTCTCCCCTTTCTCACCTTTTCTGTAAGCTAATCAAAACTATTATAACCTTTCTTCACAGAGGAGTTGCTCCATTCCTTGATCATTTTAGTGGCCCTTTTCTAATAAGCCAATGGTGAATTGTTTCCTTAAATCAGTTACAGAAGAGCAATTTTCATCATGAGTACAATAGGGGTAAAACTCACCCTACCTTACCTATCACAGCTTCATTGTTACCCCTATCTCCTGCACCTACTAATTCCATTAATCACACACAAAGCTATTATTATATTTATTTATATCCCACCCATTCCCAGTGACTAGGCTACAAGGTGGCTGCATTTAATTTGCATTTTGTTTAGGTCTGAAACTGAAGTTAGCAAACATCTTTCTATTATTCTGGTGGAAAATGGGCGTTGATTTTTACACAGGAGAGACCTAGTCATTTGCCAAAGCTGCTGGTTTTGGAAACTTTATTGGAAGTTTTAATATTGTGAATTTATAGGAAGTGTTATTTTAGTAGTGCAAGCCACCTAGGGATGCCATTGGTGGAATAGATGGCATATAAATATTTTAATAAATATCACAAGTCTTTCAGCCTTTCTTTTTGAAATAAACCCCATGTGATTCTGAGAGTGTATCTTTTAATAAATTTTTAAGAACTGTGATTCCCCCCCCCACCCCCATGAAAGTCAATCAGCATGCTATGGTCACTGAAAGTGCTTCTTTTTCTTATTTGGCTTTTTAATTTTAATTTTTCTATTTTTTCTTTTTATACTGCAAATCTTGGGTTTCTCCCAACCTTACTGATACTACCTGTTTGTATGTGGATAATGCCATATTGGCTATGTTATATAAGGCCACTTGAGTTCACTTTTGGTGTATAATTTGTCAAGATATTAGGTAACCTTAATTACAATGATTGGAATTCATTCTATCTTAGCAATTTACTGTTATACACAATTACAGCTGTACTGATAAACCCTCCAACTGAATACTTTTCCTACATCCTTTGAGTAATTTGAATCATTTCACTTAATAACTGTTCTCTAAACTCAGCTGATCCTGGAGAATCCTGATCTTTCTGAAATAAAACTGTATTGATCTAATGTAAACATTAACAAAGGAGAGTGAAGGTCAGGTTCTTTGTGGAATGAGTTTGTTCCCTTAATGTCATTTTGAAAAGACCATGTCCCTTGTGTACCTTCTGTACCTATGACAGATGGGGAACAGGATCTAAGAGGGTAGGTGCATTGATGCATACAGGAGTAGGTAGTCCATGAGGTAATTCAGAGGATTTAGAACTTTTAAGGTCAAAATCACCACTGACTTGGAGCAAAAACCAACTGCAACCCTGTGGTGCTTTCTTTGTCTGCAATAACAGTCTGGCCATTGCCTCTTGTACCAGTTTGCCTTCTGTATTTCATTGTTCATTTCATTTTTATTGTCAAGCAATGGGTTTTCTAATACACTTCATTCTATTCAAATTTCATTTTTGATGCATGGAAAAATGCTGAAATGGTTTAACTGCCAATTTGGTAAAAAAGCCTGGAGTTGTGCCTTCTGACTTGAACTTTAATCAAGTGTAAATTATTAATTACAGCTCCATTTTGCTTTTGCTCTGAGTTCTTAATTGTTGTTCAATGTCCATTGACTCAATGAATTTGCAGTGATCAGCATTTTTTTTCTTCTTCAAACAAACTAATTTTAAAGCTTTAATTTATGCTACTGTTCACAGGGTGGTGCATTTTATTTTATGGAGCATGTGGCAGCTGACCGATCCAGCTGGAACTACTTCTGGCAGCAAATCTGTTACCCCACCTGGAAACTTTTGGGAGATGGGTGTTCCTTGACAAGAGAGACCTGGAAAGACCTGGAGAATGCCAAGTTCTCTGACCTGAACCTGAGGCATATAATGGCCCCACTGATGCTAAGTTTTGTTCATCCTCATATTCTTGGGTATGCTGTGAAATGATGTCTCAGCCTTTGGGAAACATCTTCCCAGGGAGAGGTAGCCATGTGTCCCTAGAGACATTAAGGCTGAAATTGTATACTCATTTTCCTGGAAGAAAGCTTTATTGAAACTCAATGGGACTCACTTCTGCAGAAAAATGTATACAGTTGTATTGTCATTTGTTGAGTTCAAGGGAATTAATTCTGAAGAAGTTGACAGAGCATCCAATTATCCTTCCTGCATTCTGTAGAGTTTAAGTTCCTTGGCAAACATAGCTTGCAAAGTCTGCACTGCTTAATCAATGGTGACTGAAACTAGACTTTTTCTTGATTTAGGTTTGGAACTGGAAATAATACAATGTTAAGGTCACCTTTCTAGAAAGCTTATTATGCCAGCATTTCTTATGGATGTATAAGTTGCATCTGAAAGGCTCAGATTGCATTTCTCCAGCTTTGGATGGTGCATAAGCTGCATCCCCTCTTGGAAAGAAAGGATCTTTCCACTGATACCTATTCCTTAGGTTGCTAACCTCTTTGTACATAAATAATACAGGAATAAGCCACAAGGAAGTAAGTAGGGGTTGTTCCTGAATAAACATGCTTAGGTTTGCGTTGCCAAAAAAAAAAAATCCAAACTTGATTGCTGCAGTGAGCTATACATTTTATTAAATTTACATTCCACATTTCCAGCAAAAATGGTGCTCAGGTTGGCCAACAATAATAAAATACAGATTAAAATAATCTCAAAGGTGCAGCCCTATGCATGTTTAGACAGGCAATGATTTTTCTGTCTAAATAAGTATAGGATTACACCCTAAAACAGAAGAAATAAGAAACATCAAGAACAATAAACAGGAATAGCATCAGAAATGCCAACTGGTTCAAATTACTAACCAGGGAACTTGCACAATGAATACATTATATTTATAACTGAAAGGCTGCTTTGGCTTCCAGTTTCTTTTGGGACAAAATTCGCAACACTGGTTTCAATCTGTAAAAGGCCTGTGGCAACAATATCCCAAGGCCAACCTTTCCCTGAACAAACCTGTCTTGTAAGCCAAGATCTTCACTAAAGACTCTTCTGCAGTGGCCCCAGATGGCTCCCAGAGCGTTTTCCATCCTTGTAGTACTGTCATGGAACTCCTGTTATACTTTAGCTGATGAGAAATCCCATTTCCTTGATTGGTTTCTGAAATAAAAGTTTCTATTGACTGATTCTCAGTTTTTGATCACAGGTAATATTTTGTAATATTTCTGGGAGGGTGATTCATTGGTTAGAAGGATTTTTGCCAGCCATGCTGAATGCCATGCTGGTAGGAGGAGTACTTCCTGATGAGGTATTTGTTGTGCAATCACCAAGCCTCATTCGTGCAACTGTTTGGGGCAGGAAGTGTCCAGATAATGGTGTCTTTCACTTGTACCCCCCCCCCCCTGTGCTGGCCACTGCTGCTTTTCACAGGTTCCTTCTCCAAAACAAACAAGCCAAATGTTTGGAAGGCAAAGCAAAAAACACGCATGGTACTTTTTGATTAGTACTGTGTTTCCCCCAAAATAAGACACTGTCTATTTTTTTTGGCTCACAAAACACACTAGGTCTTAATTTTGGGGTAGGCCTTTTTTAAATTTATTTTTAAAGTGTACAACAATCCACACTTATTCATGTACAACAGCATGAATACATGTACATTTGGTATCACTCCGCATGTGACAGGAGCCGGCGCTATAGAAGAAGCATCGGCTTATGTGGCTCTGCTCCCTCCACAGGGAGCAGAGCTGCATAAACATGTTTCCTCCACACAGTGCATTAAGTTAAAAAATAAAGTTTAAAAAGGCTCTTTATGTTCCCCACTGGCCCTGGGAATAAACACAGCTAGGTCTTATTTTCGGAGTAGGTCTTATATTTTAGCAAGTACCAAAAAAAGTTTTAGATCTTGTTTTCAGGATAGGTCTTATTTTCGGGGAAACACGGTAGTACAGTGGTACCTCAGCTCACAAACTTAATCCATTCCAGGACTCTGATTGCAATCTGAATAGGTCATGAGCCAAGTAAAATATCCCCATAAGGTTCAATGTAAATAAGGTTAATCCGTTCTGTAAATATTTTTTAAGTAAATAATGGAAACACTCTTCACAGATAACAAACCCTTTTGAGGTCCAGTACAGGACAAAACAGTTTGTTGTATGAGATTCTGAGATGCCGTCAGTCTCTGTCGCATGCACAGACATCCTAGTGAGAGTTTTATACAAAGTGAAATTGGGCAGGATGGCATATCTCCTACTCCTTTTTTATATTATTGGTTTGGATACAGTGTGTAAATATGGCAGTGTAATGACTGACGAATTGTTTCAATTCTTGGGGGCTATATAATCAGGACAGGGGGCTTGAATAGAGGGAACAAGCTTTCTCTCGGGAGCATGGTGGACGCTTAGGATGCGTTCACAAGGAATGGTAAGTCAGAATTCCTGTGCACGCAGCCTGCTTGCTCTTGCTTTGGACCTCCCTGTTAGGGTGACTGTGAATCAAAGCAAATAGTTTGCTTAGCATGTCACCTGAACCCAGGCTCTTAGTTTGCTGCCCTAAGGCATGCCAAAATTCAGAAGCCAAAAGTTAATTGCTCTCTGGATGCACAGGATTTTTCTCTAATCACACACCATTTCCGCCCTCCTCTTTTCTTTCATTTTTCCTTACCTTTCTAGGTTTGCCTGGAAAGACCACTTCTCATTTGGAAGCCCATATTTCAGGCCTTGAAGTGTGAGGATGCTGTTGCATATACTCGGGGGCAAGAGAAATGCGCTCCTTACCTGATCAACAACTGGAAGGTGTGAGGGTTTTCTTCACTCTTCCAGAATTGAGCTATCCTAACATTAGAAACATCTACCTTGATCAATCTGTCCAGCCTTGCCCAGGGAGGGAGAGTGGTAGTGAAGTTATGGTAGGAATTTATCTCTGGAGAGAGGAAGGCAGTACTATTAGTCATACAGTGTTAATGTAATGCAACTATTAAAACAAGTGAGACACACACACAGCAAAAGTCAAACTAGCAATTCCTTATTGTTGCATTCTGGCCATCTGGACTCTCATGCTATTCCAGCTCTCTGATTGAACCTCTGGCGTTCCCCTCCCTTTCCCTCAACTGAATTACAATCTTAGGTACTTCCAGTGCTGCTGTCATGCAAATATTTCCCCCATCTCCATCCCTGTCCTACTAAAGTCAACTGTAGGCCTTTAAAAACTCTGGCATGTACCCTGTTCTTTTCCCTCTAGTTGAAAAGAACAACGCACCAGGAACACCAGCTTGGACTGGACCCAAACACTCAGGGTGAATGATGGGAAATAAAGAGTCTAAAAAGGGGGGGGCGCCCCTAAAGGCAAGGAATGAGGGTAAGTTCTTGTCATCCCAGACTGGACTCCGCTGGGGAGAATGTTAAGGTTCTGGGATAGACTTCCCCAGGGTAGGGGACTGGAAAAGGAGAAAATGATGCACTACTGTGTATTTGTATGGCCAAACTACACTCTAATCAGAGGGTTCCTCTGGCCCCAGCATGGATCTGACAACCCCTCTGTATTATCAGGACTTAAATCTGACAATAAATCAAACTAAATCTGGGACTGGAGAATCTAGGTATGCGGGAGGCTGGCTTCCTACATCAGGTTCAACTAGTCTGACAGCTTTAAACTCCTGGGATCCCTTCGATAATTCGCTACCATATCTATTATACCCTAGGGAAGATGAAGGCACTTCGGGAGCCACGCTTTCGTGCTCTGAGCATCCAGAGGAGGTTCAGGGCTTGATGCACAGAAATTCCACCTTGCAGGAAAAACTTAGCCATGGCTTACAGGGGGAGTTCTCGCCAATTGGTCCTAAAGCGCAAGGGCAGCAAAATCCTACTATGACCCCTTTTAAGCAGGTACCCTTGGCAATGGGAAGTTTTGGATGGGTGGAGTCCCCTCTGACTGCAGCAGAGGTGAGACCTTTTAGAAAGGGAACTACAAGCTATCCTTTTTTAAATATATTTTGTTTTCTGGTGAAGAATTGAGATTGATCCCGCAGGCAGCTAGAGATGTTTGGAATATAGAAATCCCAACAGAGCAGGAGGTACTCCATGCTGGCTTCTAGAAGGGAGAGTTAGGAATTATTAGAGTATATTGCCAGTATATGGTCAAGGGAACTGAAGAAGCAGTACCTCAGTCTCTTAATGTAAATAAGACTTTGTCTTTGGAACAAAAGAAAGATGAAACTCCCTCTGAGTGGCTGGGGAGACTGAAAGAACAGATGCAGAAAAATGGGCAACTGGATTCAGGAAATCCAGTCCATCAGATATTGGTGAAGTATCAGTTTGTAGGGAAGGCATGGGAGGATATTAGGCAGAAATTGGATGGATGGAAGGCAAGGACATTGGAAGATTTGTTGAGAGGCTCAGAAAGTATATGTGAGGTGAGAGGATGAGAAGGAAAAAGGGAAGGTTAAAATGATGGTACAAGTCATCAGGACGACCAAGGGACCTGTGGGTCCCCAAAATTCAGAGGCCCTCTGGGCAGCTTGGGAAAAGAGGACCCTTTCTCCTCTAGGAGGGTGGCTCTGGGGAGCCTAGGCAAAAGAAAAGGAGGAGAGGAGAACCCGTTTGGGAAGAAATCAGTGTGTGATCTGCAAGAAGGAAGGGCATTGGAAGGGAGAATGTCACTGAGGAGGAGTTGGTGGGAATTATGGCTTTTGAGGACCAGAGGGGTTAGGGGAATCATCTTTTTCTGGATCCAGCCGTCCGTGAGCCCTTGATAAATTTGAAAGTGGGACTGTTTGAAGAAGAAATAATATTTATGGTGGATTCTGGGGCCACGCGTTCCCCACTAAGCATGATCCCAAAGGGAATAAAATTGGGGAAAGGGGAACTGACAGTGCAAGGGGGGATGTGGGGGGGTAATCTGGTAAAAGCGAAAATATTTGAACCTGCTCAGGTAAAACATGAGCATGGTGAAACTGCTGTGTGGTGTGATTTTGTATTGGGGGAGGGAAGTTGTAACTTGGCAGGGAGAGATCTCCTGGGTGGGGGGGGGGATATTGTTTGGAGCTAGAGTCCAAACGATAAACGATCCCCCAGCAGCCATTTGCATATTCAGAAAGATTAGCCTTGACTCACCAGAGCTTTTGAGCTTTCCCATGGTCC